GTAGTGTGTGTGTGTGTGTGTGTGTGTGTGTGTGTGTGTGTGCGCCCCCACTTCCCAACAGCAAAACTGGATTTCACTGCATAAGAGAATTTAATTAATAAATTCTTCAGCCACTCGGAGATTTCCTTTCCGCTTGTTTTCTCACAGAAGTGGGTGGTCAGGCCTGCAAGTTATCACAGCATCTGTGTTGTTTGTAGCAATTCAAACGAAGTAGAGTGATCAATCCTGAGACAGGCAGAGCCGGCTCCAGGCACCAGTGCAGGAAACAGGTGCTTGGGGCAGCCAATGGGAAGGGGCGGCACGTCCGGGTCTTCGGCAGCAATTCAGGGGCGGGTTCTTCAATCCCTCTTGGAGGGATGGACCGGCCACTGAATTGTCACTGAAGAATGAAGCGGCGCAGTAGAGCAACCACTGAAGTGCCGCTGATTGCAGCTTTTTTTTTGCTTGTTTTTTCTTTCTTTCTCTTTGCCACTTGGGGCAGCCAAAAAGCTGGAGCTGGCCCTGGAGACAGGAATACCTCTTCCTCATCAGTGCTCGCGCATCTTCATGGAATAGTTTTCTCATGTGCTTTCTCTCTTCAGTGAACTAGACTTAATGAGCCTCTCATCATTCGTCAGGGGATTGGTCATGCAAACCATGTTGGGCCTAGGCTCACATAGTTTTAGGTAGGATGTGAATGTAAGAACTAAGCTCTGCCAGGACAATACCACTGCAATCTTACTTCTCCTGACCCAGGGAGATCCCAGAGCAGAGGTAGGTGTCTCCCTACTTCCCGCTCCATAGGCATGTTGGTGACTGGGCAGAGCTACCATCAAGACTAGCAGAATGGCTTTCAGTAACTAATACACAATTGGACTGGTTCCTCCTTTTCTCCTCCCCTCCAGCACACACATATATAACTATTTGTGTGAGGTGAGTAGGGTGGAAGAGACACATTGGGTTGTAATGGTGGATATTGTTGGCTGAGGAACCTGGATTAAGGGATGGGGTAGAGGACTATTTCAGAGAACTACATAGCAAATGTAACTAACAAGATATGTATCTTGGGAACGGGGGTGGCTCTATGTTTTTTGCCACCCCAAGCATGGCAGTCAGGCGGCTTTCGGCGGCAGTCTGCTGGTCCATGCCGATTCGGCGGCATGCCTGCAGGAGGTCTGCCGGTGCCGCGCCTTTGGTGTCCCCGCCGCCAAATCCGCGGGACCGGCAGACCTTCCGCAGGTATGCCACTGAAGGAAGCCTGACTGCCGCCCTCACAGCGACCGGCAGGCTGCCACCCGTGGCTTGCCGCCCCAGGCATGCACTTGCTGCACTGGTGCCTGGAGCCGCCCCTGCTTGGGAAGATTGTTTCTCTTCTTGCCTGTCTGTCATTTGTCTGACTTCTCTACTTGAAGCATAAGATCTATTTAGACAGTAAGCTGTTTGGGGCAGAGAGTCTCTCTTACTACATGTTTGTACAGCGCTTACCACAGCGGAGTCCTGATATTGACTGAAGACTCTAAATCAGGTGTGGGCAAACTACGGCCCAGGGGCTGCTTCCGGTCCTCCAGACGTTTTAATCTGGCCCTCGAGCTTCCGCCAGGGAGCAGGGTCCGGGGCTTGCCTGGCTCTGGCGCTACAGACGGGGAGCGGGGGTTGCCCCGTTCTGCGCATGCCATGGCTTCACGCGGCTCCTGGAAGCAGTGGCATGTCCCCCCTCTGGCTCCTATGCGTAGGGTCAGCCAGAGGGCTCCACATACTGCCCCTGCACCAAGCACCGCCCCCGCAGCTCCCATTGGCCTGGAACCACGGCCAATGAGAGCTGCAGGGGTGGCGCCTGTGGATGGGGCAGCACACAGAGCCACATGGCTGCCCCTCTGCATAGGAGCTGGAGGCTCCTGCCATGCCACTGCTTCCGGGAGCTTCTTGAGGTAAGCACCGCCTGGAGTCTGCACCTCTGACCCCCTCCTGCACCCCACCCCCCTGCCCAAGCCCTGATCCCCCTCCCGCCCTCTGAACCCCTCGGTCACAGCCTGGAGCTCCCTCCTGCATCCCCAACCCGGAGCCCCCTTCCTCACCCTGAACTCCTCATTTTTGGCCCTACCCCACAGCCCACACCCCCAGACAGAGCCCTCACCCCCTCCCGCACCCCAACCGCCTGTTTTGTAAGCATTCATGGCACGCCATACAATTTCCATACCTAGATGTACCCTCGGGCCAAAAAGTTTGTCCACCCCTGCTCTAGATTCTAGTATCAGAGGTAGCCGTGTTAGTCTGTATCCACAAAAACAACAAGGAGTCTGGTGGCACCTTAAGGACTAACAGATTTATTTGGGCATAAGCTTTCGTGGGTAAAAAACTCACTTCTTCAGATGCATAGAGTGAAAGTGATTCTAGTGTGATACAAATAATGAATAACAGTGATGATGATAATAACAAACAACAATCGTGTAACTTACCTGTTCTGTTTTCCTTTTCCATTTAGGGCCAATGATCCAAACCACATCCATTGCACTGAATTCAAAGATGGTCTCAGCGTTACAGGGTGAAACGGTGAAAGCAGTCTGTGCGCAGAACATCAACGAAACGGAAGGGCTCGCTATAACTCTGAGAAGAAACGGCAGCTCTGAGCTCTGTTACATACAGTTTGGAAATTACACATTTTTTAGCAGAAATTGCACAGACCTTATGAATCTAGAATACAATAAGCCGACAAAAGGGGTTTATGCTGTTATGGAGAGAGTCTCTGTCAAACAGTCTGGTGTTTACAGCTGCACCTTGGACAAGATACTTCCCCCTCCTGTGAGAATGCTAAGCCAGTTGCACTTTTCCCTCACAGTGTCAGGTGAGCCGGGAGTTCCCTGTGTTCCAAATATCCTAAACGCTGCAGTGCTCTGATATGTGGGTGAAAGGATAGGTTGAAATTAGGGTGACCAGATGTCCCGATTTTATAGGGATTTTTTACAGTCCCGATATTTGGGGCTTTATTTTATATGGGCTCCTATTACCGCCTCACCCCCGTCCTGATTTTTCATACTTGCTATCTGGTCACCCTAGTTAAAATGCTTGTGTGACGTTCACTGCTGTGGAGTGTGGGCTGCTTTGTGATGACTAAGCTTTGTAATGACAATCTGAGTCAATGTGATTACTGGGATGGCTTCCCGTTCATCATAGTCCTTGTGGGGAGTGCATCAAAGGCTCCCTCAGCTCCTGTTTAACAGGTAACACCTCGTTCCCTGGTGCTCCCCATAAACACAGACACCGGTTCTGTGCACGTGACCTATTTACCCCACCCCCACCCCTGGGACTGAGCTGCTCTCGCTGGTATGGCAGAGCAGTTCAGGGCTGTTGAGGAGGAAGAGGTGGCAGCGCTCTGACCCTTGAGCCAGGCCACTGGAACCCCACTGATTTATGTGACCCAGCCCTGGGCTATCCTGCAATGTCCCAATTTCACAGTGACCAGTAGCAGCTATGGGGCATTGTTCGGGTAAAGAGTTACAGCGAGCAGTGACTAGCTTTCTTCCCTCTCTTTCAGCTCTTCCAGTGGTTGAGGTTTCTTTGGCCTCTTCTTCATCCATTGACAAGGAGACCACGTTAACTTGCCGTGCTTGGGACTTCTATCCTGGAGACATCCAGCTCTCCTGGAGTAAGGACAGCCAGTTGCTCACTAACTCAACAAGGAATGACTCTCTGTTCCACAATAGCAACGGGTCTTATTCCTATATAAGTAACCTTGTTGTTTCCAAACACGACTGGAATGAATTTGCCCAGTTTTCCTGCCAAGTGAATCACTCTACACTGAAAATGCCTGTTGTGAAAAACCTCACCCTGACCCAGTCTGGTAAAGATAAATGTGTACTGTGCATTATGACCTTCTTAGGTGGTACAATCTACTCACTACGGTCACCTGTGTCCAATAGGAAATATGGGTGTAAGATACAAAATATGATATCAAAATGTTCAGCTTGTTTTATATTTTGGCTTCAGTACCTTGTTTTAAAGACTAGTTCAGATCACCATTGGGTCTTTTCTGGTGGGAATTCTGACTGCGAATATGGAGCAGTATACAGTGCAGAATAGCTCAGAGATGCAGAAAGATTACTTATTATTATTTATTCTTAATTCAGTGTAATAGGTATTGTACAGACATAGAACCAGACAGGACTCTGCCCCAAGAACATACCATGTTAGGGGAGATTTTGAAAGTCAATGGAAGCCCGGTGCTTACCTGCGCCTTGTGCCTTGTAAAATCTTCCCCAAAATAGACATTGCAAAGGGAAAGAGTTCTAAATTAATGTTTTGTACTGCTCTATAGCAGCATATTCCATGGAGGATTAATTTCCCCCTCAGCACCGGTGTCTTTTTTGAAATGCTAAGTGAAATTGCAGAACAGTCCTCTAGAGGTTAACTACTTCTTTGGAGAAAATAAGAATTAATATAGGCCTCAATTCTGCAAGCACATGCGCCTGTGAGTAACTCTACACATGTGACTAGTATCATTGAGTTCAATGTGTAAAGTTACTTGAATACATGAAGGTTTGAAGGACTGGAGTCATGGCTGTGAGCACTGATCTCCCTAATGAGCTGAAGATTTCTTACCTTGGGAGATTTCAATAATCTACTAAAACAAATAGAGAAGTGCAAGGACAGTTCTTATTTGGAGCTTATATAGTTGCTGAAATGTTGATTGATTAGAGGTAAAAGTGGCTCAGCTTTATGAAATGGAGCATAGATGCTCAGCACTTGTTAATCAGGAGAAGTTACGTGGAAAAATAAATTAACATTAAAATTCATAAATTCAATTATTTATAGTTTGGTTAAAGGAAATATAGCAATAATTTCCCACTTGTCTGCATGTACTTCTCTTCTGTATTCGCAAGAGACGTTTTTCTTTTTTTTTTTAAATAGAAACTTTGCTGTCTTAAAAGAACACTTTAGTAAAATAATGTTTTCTATCACAGCAATTTCTGAAATGTCAAGTCCATACCTACGGGCTTTTATCATATCTAGTATGATGCTGCTGCTGCTGCTAATATCATATGTTGTTCTGAAGAAGTATACGAAGCCATGTAAGTTCATCAATTTTACTTTACTATTCCAGTGTTTGTATTAACATCTTGCACTAAATCTTTGATGCTCAGTTTTCATCTGTAAATTAGTGATTTCTCTTTGCAGATGGTTGTGTAATTTCAGGTGACAATTTGTTCATCCAGTGCAGTTCTAGGACTCAGTCCTGCAATGTGCTGAGCACTCTGGTTCTGATCCATCAAAGCTCTCCACGCTTAACTTTAAAGATGTGATAATCCCAGTGAAGTCAATTAAACTATTCACATGCCTAAAGTTAGGTGCATAGTTAAGTACTTTAGTCTATTGGGGCCTAGTTGAGGGAGATGAAGATGCTGGACAAGCCCCAGGAGATGTGCAGCACCTCACGCGATCAGGCCCTAACTCTTCAGAACCAGTGAAAACACCTATTTAGAGGAAATGAACATCATACAGGGCCATCTGTCCTATTTTCCATTGTCACTTTAGCTCCTCATGTTCAATGAGATCTTCTTATCTTTGCTCTCTTACCCATTTGTTTATGCTTATGTACCCATTAAGCAGATACCTTTCCATTTGTGCTATGCAGATCTTTGCATGTGTTCCATCTATGATGCAGGGCCGGCTCTGGCTTTTTTGCCGCCCCAAGCAAAAAAAAAAAACACCACTTGCGGCACGGCCGGAGCCAGGGTGCAGGGGGACTCCCTGCGCTGGTGCCCCGGCTAGCGGGGGGAGAGAGAGAAGGGGGCGGCCAGGGAGGGCTCTGTGCCATGGTCGGCTGGGAGGGAAGGACGGGACTGCCCTGCTGGACTTGCTGCAGGGCACTCCCCTCCTCCGCACCACCGCCCCCTACAGGGCGGCCGGAGCGGAACAAAAAAAAAAAGCGTCCGTGAATGCCGCCTCGTACAATCTGCCGCCCCAAGCATGAGCTTGCTCGGCTGGTGCCTGGAGCCGGCCCTGCTCCTATGGCATGTCCCTGTATGGCTCTCTTTCTGTCCCTGAGCTCTCTATAATGGCTAAAGATTTCTTTTTTTAAAAACTTGGTCACTCTTCCAAGGCTTCCCATGCTGCCTTTTCACTTCCATTAACTCCATTCTTCTGATTTCAAATATATGTATTTGAAGGCAATGACTCATAAGGAATCCTATATTTGTCAATTGGCCCAGGCCAATTTACTCATTAAAAACTCCTAAACCTTTCCCACATACTGACTTTTATCTTTTGGACACTTGGATTGAAGAACGTTTCTGTATGTAGTCTGCATTCTTTATTCATTGCTTCTTTGTCCTACCAGTGGGCTTATTGTATTCCAAAAATGCTGATGGATGCTGAAATGCCTAATACGAACAATGTTTGCATTTGTATAGACAGTGTCTTTGCAGATTTCTTAAGCCTATTCATGCACCTGCTACAAATGTTACTGAAAGGGAAATGCATGTGATTAAATCAAAAGCACTGAAATTTAGGATGATTGTGCACGCTGTAATAATTTGAGATGCATTAATCAATATTTCAGAAGCTGTGCCCAGCTTGGCTAAGTAATGAGTAGTGGAAAAGTGCCAGTGGGGAACATCAGAACACTCAGCAAATAGTCAGCGGAAGACTATAAAACCAAGGCTGTAGAGGAGTTATTTAGGGCGGTGTGCAAGGGTATGAGTAGGAATAATGGAGCGAAACTAAGAAAGGGAAAATGTAGACTATACAGCAAGGCTTCCTGACAGAGAGATGCATTAGGCTGTGATATAGTCTCCAAGGGAAGTGGTAGAAACCCGATCACTTCAGACATTTTGAAGGATACTGGGTAAAACACTGGAAAATATATTGTAGGAACATTCCTAGACTATCAGGGATATGGACTGGATATCTTTAATAGGTCTTTTGCATCTCTATGCATCTTGAGACTGACTCCAACCAGATGTCGTTCCAGGTCTTTTCAGGTAATCCCTTCGAACAGCTCCTCACAATCAGCATGAGGTAGTGGAAATAAATTTCAAAGTTTTCTTTTAGGTGTATCTTCAGTGACTTTTGAAAATCTAATAAAGCTACATTTCTAAGGATGATGGTAGTTATCATAAAGTGCAGTGAGTGCATGTGAAAACTATCATGGTGCCGTGAGGTATGCAGTCTGTCCTTGTTGCCATGGAAAAGGTACACATTTCCTGTGCTCCTACCTTATGTTACGCTGGCCACTACCGTACTAATTTAGGCTAATGGGTTTTAGTGAATTTTTAGACAGTTCAGTGTAGTGTTTATGGAAGACATGATAAGATTGGGGACCAGATTCATTGGTACATTCCAGCTATTTTGTGCTGCTTCAGTGATATAACGCAGCCTTTACATATTTTAACTAGCTGGATAAGCCATTTTTTTATTGCTTTTGGCCACTGAAGCAGCACAAAATAGCCAGCGTACACTGGCCTGTATTTTTAAGAGACTTCTGTAGTGCCACATTAGAAGATTTACCTCTAAAACACCAGAGGTAAGAATTCATAGGCCAGTTTTTTAAACGTATTTAGGCACCTAAAAATGCCCTGGATGTTTTTGAAAATCACACTAATCTGTGTCTTTAGGTGCCTTTGAAAAGCTGGGCCAACAAACTGAGAGCTTGTCTACATGGACATTTAGTTCATAATGTGCTTTGATCTAATCTCATTTCAAAGAGGACTAGAACAAAGCGCTCTAATGAACTTTGTGAACAGCAGCAAGGTCAACGAGGACAGTTGGTGTGCAAAGGTGATAGTACAGGGTGAAGTCACACCCCTGTCTGCCACGAACCTCAATGTTTGAATAGGCAAGCTCTAATTCTCCTCTCACTTCAGTAGAATTGCTCTTCTCTTCAGTTGACTTTTACTAGCATGAGGTCAGAATCAAACTGATTCACCACTTGTGTACAGCAAACTATCTGTTCTTATAATGAACAGTTAAAGAAATGCTCATAATTGTGCGCCACACACATCTGTGGCATAAAAATCCAGCCAGAGATTAATTGGCACAGAAGAAAGTAAATATTCAGTAACACTGGGAACATGTCCCTGCTTCTTTAGTTCATTCATACGTCATTAAAGAGCAATGAATAAAATAGAACAAAATATCAAAAATTCTTCTTGGGATCAGGCAACATCTCAGTGAAAGGCTCCCAGGTCTGCTAATTATATCTGACTATTATTCAACTTTCATATCTTGCAATTTTGGGGTGTAATTCACCTCTGTGCATAGGTTTATTTACTACTCAAATCCTCAGTATAGGACTACAATGGGATTCAACTAATGCCCAGACCTTGTGTTTACCCTCTGCATAGGGCTGACTTTCACCCTCAGTATATTGCTCTATTAAAGTGATTTAGGAGCACTAGTTCCACAAAGTGAATGAGATTTGTCCTCCTAAATCACATAGGTGTTTCCAAAAAGCCCACCCCTAGTCTGTAGTTGGCAGGGATAGACCCTTCTAAAGGGTAAGAATGATCATCTTATGGTGAAACTGTGGTTCTCAAGTACAAAGCTTTAACGTAAACTAAGATTAAGGTTTTTCTCACTGTAACTCAAGGGGCTTGAGTCACCACTGTTTTATGTGGATGTATCTTCAGTGAAATAAATGGAGTTATACCAGTGTAAAACTGGAATGATGAAGTGGTGAATCAGGCCCATAGTCTGTTAATGGTGAAATATATCACCCCTTAACAGCTGTCTCAAAAGCATATGGAAAATCCATCTTTACCCAGAAAATATGTATTCTAGGACAATTTCAGTTCCATGACTCTTTTTGGGGCTTTCCAGCAAAACGCTGTGAGATTCTCTTTTTTGTCCAATGCATTCTCTTCGTTACATTCTTGGGGCTAGATTCTGCTGTTACACTGGTGAATAGCTTGTCACATCATTCATAAGTTTCAATGGATTTACTCTGGATGTAGACCAATAGAACCAAGAGCAGAATTTAGTCTTTGATGAATTGACTCAAGTATGTGGGGTTGGAAAAGTGTCTTATTATTTCAGATAAATAGCAGAGTGGTGTCTTCTGTCTCAAACTTTCTTATTACAGTGAGTTGATTGACCTACATTTTTCTTCTTTACAATTTTCCTCCTGCCTTTTTCACTTGCACCATTAACTCCTGGAGGTCGTCCAGCAGTCATTATCTCATACACATGTGATAACATTTAATGCATCACAAATGCTCCTAATTAGAGTAGACAGAAAGCATCTTCAGCGTAGGGACCATTTTCCCTCTGTTCGGTACTGTGATGGGCACAATGATGGCCCATAATATTTCTTCAACCATAATTTGCTTACTGTTGCTATGGTTAATTTTGTTCACACTCAGTGTGTTATTAAAAGCTATTCACTCCCTGATGTAGAGTACCAGCCTTTCACTGTTGTGCCAAGATTAGATTAGCAGCTCAGAACTCAGGGTAAACTGTTTATTCCCTTTTTTTGCCAATTATCAGTCAATTTTTTCTTAATATACTCCGTCTGCTAGGAACATTAGAGAGCACAGAATCTAGGTAGTTTAGGGTGGAGGAAGTGGCCAGCTATGGGGAGAAGAGTAAATAGATTGGGCAATTAGACTAGTGCAGGTGACGAGGGCCAGGAAATGCTCGTAGGTGACTTTGGTAATGGGAGTTTTAGTTGCATGTAGATGGCTGATGCCAGATTGAGGGGACACAGCAGTGTTGAGATACAGGGAAAGAAGTCGCACAGGTGACGGGAGCTCTCTCACTGGCCACAAACACAAATATTTGGGGTAAAAATTGCAAATGCACCTAAGTCACTCTGGTCCAGATCCTCATCAAGGTTTAGTCACCTAACACCTATTTTGATGGGCCAAGCTGTTATTAAAAACAAGGATGACTGAGTGGAATCTCTCCACAACTATTCTATTCCCTTTAGAAATCCTGTTGTAACCACAGCACCAACTAATTCACTCCATACCCAACTATTCCCAGCTTTGGGAACTGGTGGGAAGAAAGGGGCTGTGGATAACACATATGTTCTAGGTCTTATCCTGTTCAGCTGTTTCAACATCATTCAAAA